AAGCCCCGGCTTAGCGTGAGCTGAGGCGGCGGGGTCGAGAACGGCGGTCCCGGCGAAGGAGCGGTGAAAACGGTGAAAGCCGATCCGGCCATCCACAGCGCGAAGTTGATTTATTTTCTCAGCGACCAGCACGGATCAGCTCTAGGCATGACGAAGCAGATATCGTCCTCTTTTGGAAGGCCAAACAAAATAGTTTCGCTTTCACAACGAAACACAGCGTCACACACGGCGGGCTAGAGTGAGTGGAGGCCTAGAGTGAGCGGAGGCCTAGAGTGAGCGGAGGCCTGCTTGAGTGAGCGGAGGTGGGCTTGAGAACGGCGCGGCTGGCGGATTCGACGAAGGAGCCAAATCTTTCCACATAGTGATGTAGATATGTGGGGGTGTGTTAGAACGAGCCGTTTTAGGTAGGCGTGGTTGACTCTTAACTTTTATAAAGAATATCTCTTTGGATTTGAGACTTTAGTCTTTGCAACTTTACTGATCTTCTTTATGCACTAAGAGCTTGTAACACTCCAAAGAGAAAGGAAAAATTGAAATCGCATCATATGACCCCTTTAAAACAGCATGACAATTAGCTGAACTAATGGCCTGAGTTACGGGCAGGGCTACCTGTTTGTTCGATCAGTTGAAGATTAGGGGATTGTTCTGGAAATTGTCCTATTAAAGCGGTTATCATTTTGCCAAAAGCATTTGGTGTTAATACAGACAAAGAAATTAGCTACATACATCACCTTTAAAAAACCTGCCTTGTCTAACTAGAAGAAAAAATAAATAAAAAAAAGTTACAGCTGCATTGCATATACTGGGTGGATTGGTCTATAAAAAGTTCTGGCCAAATAAAAAATAAATAAATGTAAAAAAAATAAAATAAAATAAAATTTTCCCTTGAGGTCTCCAGCAGGTCTGCCCACTCCATCGGTGTGGGCTTCACTCTGTGATCTTTGCCTCCAATCTGAGAATCGTGCCACCTCCGCTTACCAACTGCCACACAGATAAGGCTGCTTTGGCAACCGCCCCAGCCTGGTCTGGCAAGTGCTCTGACGTACCCAAAGAAAAGAGAAACATGGGGGCTGAGAAGGAGTTGAAGATGGAGTAGGTGGTAGGGTGAAGCTGGGAGATGTTAGACAGGGTATGAGTGGATTAGGCCGACATTTTGCCAAGGACCCGCCATGCCCCGCCACGAGCCAGCCTGATGCACTGCAGTGATTACAAAAAGACAACATATTGTGCTGCAAAGCAAGGTCTGTGAAGAAAGTAGAACCGGCGCGAGCACAAGCAGCAATAAATAATGTATTTCAAAACAGGTCTCTTGCTTTCATTCAAATTGGTACAGTGTAGGTCATGGGCCTGATTGGACATGCAGGATTATTGATCGCTCAGTGCTGGGAATTGCTTGCACTGACGAACAGGATACTTTTCAAACACGGTAAATGTGGCGGCAGGAGGCATGGCGTGCTCCAAAACCAAGGTTAAAACCACCCAGACACTTTTTCAACTGTAAAACAGCAAGATGAGAGCTGGACTCTGGGCCAACAGAACTGGTACAGACTGTATTTGCACAAGCTCCTGTGAAAAGAGTGCAATCAGTCCTTGCTAGAACCTCTTAAATTATTAAAGTAAACTGTATGGCCTATATTTCATCTCCTTCAAACTGTAGTGACCACACAAGACTAGGGCTGCAACAACTAATCGATAAAATCGATTATTATCGATAATGAAAATAATCGACAACGATTCTCATTATCGATTAGTCGGGTCTGCCCACGGTGCACGTCCAACTCCAGCCGGTCACGTCAAATTACAGCACTGAATAGCGCATTACGGACAAAATGCATCTAAAAATAGTGGAGGAAACAGAATGAGATGCTGCAGGAGAAGTGAAAAAGAAAGAAATGAGAAGATCCGATTAATCGATTAATCGGAAAAATAATCGGTCAACCAATCGATTATCAAAATAATCGTTAGTTGCAGCCCTACACAAGACTATCACAAACCCAGCATCACAGGCTGCATACTCTTTCCCAACCTAATTTCCCCCCAGTATCAACAAGTCAATAGCACGAGGAAGTAAAATTGTTCAAATATGCTGATATTTCAATCAGTAAACACTATTGTAAGGATAAAAGAAACTCAGATACTTTGATCCCCTGAGAAACAGACAATACACTGGCATCTTCAAGACACCCCACAAAGAGGTGGTGCAGGAAACGCCTCTCTCACATATGCATCAGTGCCTTTTCATCTGCTCCCTCCACTGGATTCACTCAGAATGGTCAATAGTATAATGTTCTATAAGATTTACAGTCATGTGTGGTATCATTTGAATAGTATCAGGGCGAGTGGTACAATGGTCTTAATCTTACAAAAGTAGACTAAAAGATAAATACAGATCCTAAGAGTTAAGAGATACTTTGATTACCGTAGAGAGTCATTCCATGCAAATTACCTTCTGTTTCCCATTGAGGTGTAAACTAGCCACCCAGATACCAATTGTTTGTACATGCCTCCACTTGAAGTAAAGAGTTAACTAGAATAATCAAATGTCAGAAGAGTAATAATAATAATTAGAGACCGACAAACAACCAATTTGCCTTTCAACCTAAATTCGAGGTCATACTAAAATGGAGTCAGATTAGATACTAAAATGGAGTCAGATTTGAGTTAAACCTAAATTGAATAACTCTGCGCGCTGAAAAGACTGAACACGCAAGTAACCTTCATCCACCACTGGATACCTTCCTTGGGCCAAGTGCGTGGACCTTACACTATTTCTGGTCAGCCTTTTGACTGCAAATCAAACACATGCAAGCAGTCTGATTCTTAACAAGGAAGGTCACTGGAAGCATGACATTTTATCCAGGATGCAGACAGACAAGCATGAAAGACAGAGAGAAAGTCTGATCAATATCCATCAGACTCAGAGCAGATGTCCTTACACATCTATACACATAAAAAAACAAATTAAACAAATACATGAGACAAAGTCTCCGCCATACCCAAATACTGCAGGTGAAGCACATCGGAGCAAGCAACTTGCTGATGCTGATTCATATTCCGTCCACTTCAGTCTTTCCCTTTCGAAGTGCGAGACCACTGTCTTGCCTTGAAAGACCGATTAAAACACGAACCAATAGCATTCTAGCGCAAGCTATGAAGGTACATTTTATTGGTTGGCCCTACTGAACGAACACGCCCCCTCAATGAACGAGTCGGTGTTTTGTATCTGAACGAGACTCGGAGCTTTACTGATCGAGACATTCGTTACATACATTATAGCTGTATTTTGTATATAGCTAGAAAAAAAAAACATAGCATTTGATAAATAAATAAATATATATATATATATATATATATATATATGTGTGTGTGTGTGTCTGTGTGTTTTATTGTCATTTGTAGAGAAACCCTTACAATGCATAAACACTATTTCTGGAGTCAGATTTAGCACATTTAAATACATGACACAATGCAAATGACAATAAGAGTTGCTTGTGAACGAGTCGGTGTTTCGAATCGGTTGAGTGAATGATTCAGGGATTCAATTACAATACACAAAAGCATAACTTAACTCCATCTACTGGCGTAACGTAACCCTACTGATTTATATAGAAATCATTATACAGATCATTATCAGTGCGTGTGTACTGCAGAAAGGGTCACAGGAGATTCACAAGCTTCGAATCACCGCAATTAATCTTTTTAATTAAGGACTCAAAAGATTCGAAACATTGAGAAGAATCAAAATTCAATCCACCACCACCTGTGGTTATTTAAAGGCGTACTTACATTTAATTGTGAATACATGTTTATATGACAAGGAGAGCAAGGAAATAGTTCATGATAACAACATAAAAAAACTTATTTGACCTGGAAACACAACAGTCGACGCGTTTCAAAAAGGCGGGGCGTAGAGGAGAAACAATAATGTGTGTATACAGTATGTGGAAAATAATGTGTTTTTTTAACTTTAAACCGCATAAACACATTTCATTACACCAAATACACAAAATAATGTTCTTTTTAGCAGCATCATATGACCCCTTTAAGTTAAAAACGAGGTCTGGCCTACTTCTTATGACCAACTAAAACACAAATAATAAAACGTTACATAATATAATAACTTCATAATTACACACAAACCTTCATCTCTCACCTTAGTCATTACTTCGTCCTCGATATTAAAGAGGGGAAGATGTAAAAAAAAACATAACAAAATAATAAATAATATAAGCTGATGACAGTCCTAATATGAAATTAACTATATGCGTAAATGTTCTATGGGACCATTTATGCATCTTACCTTTACAAATATCCACATTTAAATATCAAATGCTGCTCACTGTCTTTGAAAGCAACTGTGAAACAACTTATTTGCAAGCTGGAATCACGCAATGAAGTCCAATGCAATCTGCTTTACGTGTTCTCGCAACAGTGGTCGAGCACGAGAAAGATTGTGCAGATGTACGTTAACGGAACTCAAGATGACAGGTACAGATTGACAAATCCGCGCTAAAAACGTGCCTTACCTTCAGCACGGGTCCGGAGATCCGACATAGTTCTCTGAACGGGCGGCATCTGTCCACCTGTCAAACTGAACGCATAAAACTCCGCGTTGCGTTTCTCTCTTCACCCGTCTAGAGATTTTAAGCGCCGGTGACCGTCACCAAAGTAGCTTTCCCCCACTTCCCGTGACCGGAAACCATTTATTTAGCGTTAGCATTCATGTTGTTGTTGATGAACACCGATAGTTCCGCCCTCATAAACACGCTCCAGCATCAGCGCGCGGAGCTGAACGCCAAATCTCCCCAGCATGCGCAAGATTCGAGAAGCGGTTGGAACGCTGAAAGTGAGCGAGCTCTGCCGCTTCATAAATTGGACCGTACCAACTAAGAGCGCAGAGGGCGGCCTCTTCGCAATATATCGCATACAGTCTGGTCGTTCACACTCTGAAAAACATAAATTTCTTATAGAAACAATATTTCTGTAACGCCAAATAAAATCAGGTCTCCAGATATGCAAAGTATTATTTGTACTCTGCTAAATAAAAACTATACCAAAATATTTTCCCCTAATATGATAAAAGGTCTGCTGGAGATTCCCTCGCTGCGGTTACTCTCATTGTTTCAAAGGGGGATTGCATTGCAGAGACAATGACAGCCCACTATTTCTTTATTTTAGGCCCTGAAGCAATCACGACTCTGCAATCGCCTCTCATCTTACCCTTCAGCCGGGAAACATTATGACTTTGCTGATATGCTGAGGGTTTGCGCTTAACAAGCCACATGTTGATCGACGAAATTCTCCATTCCTGTTTCACGTTCCTCTTCTTCAGGCCAACTGCAATTAATATTGCTGTTATTATAATTACACAAATTAATAAAATAAAAGAACATCATTTAGATGGTCACAGTTAATTTTTTTATGGACATATTGACATTTTCGGCCTTTATTTTGTAACAGCATAAGTCTGAATACTGCACACACACATTAATTTTGTATGTTATCTTAATATCTTTCATTGTATTGTATTAATAATATAAGATATATGAAATTGTAACCCACAAATAATAACATGTATTATTTCCAAAGCTTTTTGAGTTTTCTCTCAAGCTAGTCGTCATCCACCCGCCTGCACGGGGATTTGGCTCTACTGCTCCTCAGGTTGCCTAGCAACAGTGACAAGCCTGAATCTTTGATTATGTGCGCGGCACTTTTATCTTTGAGCACATATCAGTCTAAATAATGACTCATCCTCTCAATACACACACAGACACGCGCTCTCTCATTCACAGACAGATATAAATAGATCAATCTTTTTATTTGAATTCTGTTGAACACACATGAATGTACAGCCTTGTTCCCACCCTCCATCTGTGCTGATCAAAAATGATCAGACGAACATCTGGCATAAGAGCTGCATATAATAGCCTATCTAAAAATATCTAACATTTGTATTAACACTGTACATTTATATAAATTATATAAAATAAAATAATCTAAAAGGAACCCAAATGCAACTTCCCATTTCAAAATTTCTCTTCTTAAATTGATATTTCACCTGAAAATTAAAAGTTCACCATTATGTACTTCCCCTTAAATTTCTAAAATTGTATGTGTATCTTCAGAAGGCTTAGAATAGAGCATGAGCTATATAGACGACTCTTATTACTTATAATACGTACGTTTATAATGCTTTTACATTCTTTTTGAGTAAATTATGACAGAATTGTCATTTTGGAGTGACATATTTGTTGTGGGATCCTGTTTAGTTCATATGCATATTATTTGTTTATTTGGCTAAATTCCATAAATGTAAATTCTCAGGAAATAAATCATGCTATTAGTATTTTATAGTAAAAAAAAACACAAAAACACACACACACACACACACACACATACACATACACATACACATACACACACACACACACACACACACACACAAAGCTATTCAGACTGTACCGGCATGTATCATCTTTCATGTCTTTGTGTAATATTGTTTATTTCCCCTAGCATATTGTTTATATATTTGTAATTCAATTAAAAAAAAAATACTGTTCAATGCATCAAAACATCATGAGTCATTCATATCTCCTGCATGCACAAAAGTTCAATCCTTCTTGCTATAAAGCCACAGTGACGTCTCACTCTCCACTAAAAAGGGCCTAGAATCTTCAGCGCTCCAAGCAGTGGTCAGAGGCCATCTCTGTGATAAATGAGCCAGCCGCTCCATCAGAACACTCAGGCCACACAAGATCTGCACTCACTGCAGGCTATGAGTGTGATCTACACTTATTGACAGATTAGACTCACTGCATGTGGTTGGGACCATGAAATATTCAACAATGCCTATGAATGTATTTATAAGTAGCATGTTGATTCATTTGGGAAGAATATTTGCGATTGAGATTATAGGATTAAATGGATGGCATGAAAATGAGTTCAAAATGGAGTAGACTAATAAAATAATAGGTTGTGTTTCAGACTAAAGAGTCAGGTTGAAAGGGTCATGAAGAGTACCAACAGCAACACCTGTCAGTCAACAATCGGATGGCACCATCTGTCTTGGGCAGCACTGGCAGCCTATCAGCCGATATGATCAGAAAGGCCCCTTAGAATTGATGGATCTGCTAACAATAGCGGAGGATTCTGGGACACTATAGCATGGGTAAAAAAAAAAGACAGTGGGCTTAATAGATATTGACTGAGGAATCTAATCAAAACGTGGACACCCTGCATGTTTATTTTGCTCATAAACTTTGTTTGTCTGAACATATTGCACAGGGACATTTATGGGTCCAAAAGAGACTAGATAAAATAAAGCAAATAAATATATTTTATATAATAAATGTACAGTCATTAAATTGCTTATGTGCTGGCCAATATTGCTGTAGTCTTAGAGTTAAAATTATTACCTTTAAAGAGTGGTAACCTGCAACTGTTAAAGCTTCTACTTGAAAAAAGGTAAAAAATTAGTTTTGTTGGTATAAATTAATTTATTTAGGTTGATTCAGTTATGTTAGTGCACTTGAGGAAACAATCTGATCTGTAGATTGTTGCAATTCATTGATCAGTAAGATCGGACTCTGCCCCCTGCTGGACTACCAGTGAAACCCTTGCATTTTGATTTGCCTGGGAAACCTTTTCAATTATAGTGATATTAAACCATATTTATCACTTCTTTATCAGTCATACAATTCTCCATAATCCTTTTAGGATTAGCCACATGTTATGAATTTCACTGTTAAGCTCTGAAGTTCATTTATTTTGTTAGTCGAACCATATGTTTAAATCACCTGAAATACTCCATTTAATCATGGGATTAAGCCAAATTAATTCCTTAAATCACTGTAAACAACATGGAATTATATTAATCTTCATTGTTCTTTATATGATGGGATGGTTGGGTCAATCATCTCCATGACTCATGGTGATCATTGACTTAATATTTATAAATCATGCATAAATATTGCTTACTTGGAGATTATAATTTTCCAAAATGCTTGGTGTGATGGTGGTGACAGCAGTGCCGGGAACAGAGATCATTATAAAAACTGAATTTAAGAAATTGTACACATAATTGACATATTTTAAGTTTTCAGAAAATGTGCAAAGTGGAATTTCCTTGATTTTAACACTTAGTTATTATTATAGAGGAGAACTTTAAAAAGTTAAACTGGTCAAAATGAACGTTTCCACACTCTTAAACAATTAAAGAGACTAATAATAATAATAATAATAATAATAATAATACTATAAAAAATAATAATAATAATTTTTTTTTTTACTGTATGATCAAATAAATACAACCTTGGTGAGAATAAGAGACTTTCAAAAATCTTACAACCCAAAACATTTGAATGTCAGTGTACCTCGATCTAGAAAGTAAAATAAATAAGTGCATAAATACTTTTTGTCAACATACACTAACAAATAGATGACTTCATTGCTAACAGTCACGCATGAAAATCCACAAACCTTTAACATGAAGAAAAAAAAAAAATTCAAAAGCTTTCAAAAGTGTTGTTTTTAGTAAGAATGCTCACTTAAAAAAAGATCCTTTCTCTAGTACAGACTGTGCAAACAGAAAGTGACAATCTGCCTTAGGGCTTAGTTCCAATTAATGTATAATATATTCAATTTTCATCAACTGTGATGCAAGGTGTGAGTAAAGGCCAGTTGAGCTCGCCGGCTCGCAATATGGCTCGGTCCACTTCTGCAGGGCCATTGTATTCACAGAGCAGCTGCAGTGCTACCTGCAGCCCCACTGGAGGGCAGATGTGTGCAAATACCAGCCAATGAAAGTTGAACTCCATTTCCCCTCATGCTCAAGCACAGCATGCAGCTGCAGTGCAAGAAACTCGGATGCATTGAGAACCACAGCAGCTAATTAAATAGAAAAACTCTCTCCATCTTAACAAGCAATCATAAAATATTTACCAGAACTTCTAGCTGGTGAAACCCCTACAGGGCAAATCAATGCCCCTCTCAAATCCAGAGGTGGACAGTAACTAAGTACATTTACTTGAGTATTGTACTTAAGTACACTTTTTGAGTATTGGTACTTTACTT